GCTCATGCCCAACCTGCCCTGCGTGGTGCAGGCTGGGGCGATGGTCTTCGCCCGGGGCAGTGGCGCCGGTGATGGAGAAGCCGCCCTGCTGAAGAGCCTTCTGTCCTCCTGTGGGCTCTGCGAGGAAGTCCCCGAGTCCTACATCAACATCCACACTGGCCTCAGCGGCAGCGGGGTGGCCTACGTAAGCACCCACGGGCTCGTCGGTGGGATATGGGACACCGGCAGAAATCCCACCAGCACGGGGTTGGGGTTGTCTCCTCTTCTGCCACGTTCATCCCTATCATGTTCTTCTGCTTCAGGTCTACCTGTTTGCTGAAGCTTTGGCCGAGGGAGCGGTGAAGATGGGCATGCCGGGTGGCTTGGCCAGCAGGATCGCGGCGCAGACGCTGCTGGTGAGTCGGTGCCATGGGTTGGGGACACCCAACATCACTCCTGTCCCTCAACTCCCACCTGGCTCGGTCACCTCGTCACTGCCCTGGGCTCTGTGGCACCAGGCAGGGTGGCAGAGTGAGGGAGAACACGCTGTATGGCCTCCTGCCTCAGTTTCCTCTCTTGAAACCGAAGATGAGGCCACCAGGAGACACCAAAGGGCATGGTGGTGGGACAGATGCTTCAGCGCCTTGTCCCCTACCATGGGATGTGGGCGATGGGAGGATGCTGGAAGGAGAAGGGGAGGTTTGGGAGGTCCCCTTCTCTCTGACTCACCCCCGGGTTCCCCGTAGGGTGCAGCAAAGATGATGCTGGAGACGGGGGAGCACCCGGCGAAGCTGCGAGGAGATGTTTGCACCCCTGGGGGCACCACCATCCACGCGCTGCACCAGCTGGAGAAGGGGGCTTTGCGGGCCACCGTCATGAACGCCGTGGAGGCGGCCACCAACCGGGCATGTGATGTGGCCGAGGACTAGCAGCCTGGCTGGGGACAAGCCCTCTCCATCCCCCATGGGGCAGGAGGGGCAATGGGGACCAGACCAAAGCCCTTCAGGGACCTCGACACCCCTGGGAGACCCTGGCCGGGGGTGGGAGATGGTGTGGACATGGGTCCATGCCATGTGCTACCTCTGCAGAGCTGGGACCGAATAAACATGGACAACACAATGGCAGGTTTGGCTGTTTCTGGTCCCTTCAGTCCTGGGGGGGCTACTGCACTCAGCACGGGGTCACCTCCATGGGGAGGTGACAGCCATGAGTCCATGGGCCAGCGGGGATGGAGCTCATGCCACGTTGGCTCTATGGGCACTGGTGTGTTGCTGGGATGTATGGGGATGGGGACAGGGTTTTGGGGATGGGTTGATCCTAAATCAAGCCTTCTGGGGCTGGACAGAGCGGCTGCAGGTGGTGAGGACCATTGGAGGTGCCATGAAGATACCAAAAGACCTTGAGAAATGAGGAGAAAGGCTTTGATTTCCCAACGTGGCGCTGAGCGGGGACACTCGGTGCTTGGGTTACACGTGGCCACCAATGCCAGCTCCTCTGCTCCACTCTGGAGATGCATGTGCCAACGCTGCTGTCCACATCCCAGAACCATGGGCAAGAAGTCAACCAAGCCAAAAAACCTTCATCTCCCACCCGGGCCGGGCACCGGCATCGCCCCACGGTCCCGTAGATGGGTCTTCCTCCATCAGCGAAGCAGCAGGATGGAAGCCCAGACCCCCTCTCAGCCCCAGGGTGCTGGACATCAAGGGAGGAGAAATTCCAAGCTCACCTATCTGGAGAGGATCTGAGGTTTTTGCGTGCCCTAATTAAGCTTCGTTTGCCTCCCGGCACTTGCACGGATGCAATTAGTGATGATTTTGTGAACGGCTTTGAAGATGAAAGGCTCTTTTCCAGGCAAAACATCGCTGGGGAAACAGCTGGATGCTGAGCCTTCAGCTCCTACAGCTTTGACCCCATCCCCAGGGATGCCGTCACCAAGCCAAGGGAGATGCCACAGCCCTAACGGCGCTGCCGGGTCATGCCAAGGCATGACCTCCCTGGGCACCTTCTCAAGGCACCTAATTAATTAGCAAAGTTGCACAAAAGCTGCAGATGGAGCTTGAGCCTGCCTGTCTCTCCTGCCCATCTCTTCGTTTCACCATGTAGCTGGAGAAGGGGTTCATGGAATCTACATGGGTCCTCAAGGGTTCCAAGCCACCTGGTAGCTCCTCAGTTCAGTAAGACCCTGGCCCAGGTTGGCCAGAGAAGCTGTGGCTGCCCCATCCCTGGTGGGGTTCAAGGCCAGGTTGGACAGGGCTTGGAGCAACCTGGTCCAGTGAAAGATGTCCCCATCCAAGGCAGGAGGGTTGGACTAGGTGATCTTTCAAGGTCTCCTCCAACCCAAACCATTCCATGATTTGATATTCTCACTTCCCCAACCAGACCGAACGGTGACCTACAGGAGAAGTGAAGATCTCCAGCCTGGTACCTTCTGCTGAGCTTGGCAACATCTTTCTCAAACAACCGAAAACTCCTTTAATTCACAAACTACCCCTTAAAGTGAGCCACATCCCAAGCTCTAGAATGTTTTTCTAGGGGTTTTTTGGGGGCAGAACTTGAGGTCAGTTGGGTTTGTGGGGGTGGGAAAAAAGTGCATTTCTCCCCTAATCCAAAGTTTTTCTTGACATCGGTTCTGCAGTGGAGTTTCATGATCAAAAAGGACAAACCTCAGCTCCGAATCTGACTTTTTTTGTTCTTTTTTGTTCTTGCTGCTCCCTAAATTCCCTGGCAGGCTCGTTTATCGGCAAATTAACTCTACTAATATAGTAAAAAAACTCAATTTGGGGAGCAGCTGCAGCAGCTCGGGCTGCAGAGAGGAGGGGAACGTGACGGAGGAGACCACACCAAGAGGACACAACCTCATGGAGGTCCCTTTTCTGCCACCCCCAACCCTGCTGGGATGGTTCTGCGTGATCATTTATGGAAGAGAACCCCAAAGTGGGAATAAAAATCCATTTAATTTCCATAAACTCTGAAGTTATGAGACAAAGACGCGACAAGTAAAACCATCCAGGCCGCATGTTGACACGGGGCAGGGCAGCACCGATGAGTTGGGTGGGTATTTTTTTTTTTCAATAATTTTTTCTCCTTTCAATAATTTGGCTAAACAGGTTAAAATTTAAATCAAAAAATCAGGTCAAGAGCTGCTAAATTCACATCTGATGCCTCCAGCATTTCAAGGCAGCGCTGGGAGCCCTCCCCGCTCCTATCTCAACTCGCGACGTGTGTCACGCCAGCAAATGTCACTGCAAGACGTGTCCTCCAACCCCCAGCCACCCTGGAAATTCCCAGGAGGACACCTCAACCCCCATCCCCGCAGCCTTCGGTGATGTGAGGATGGATGATGGTACCTGTTTTCAGCAGGTCTCCGTGGTCTGGGCGCTCCCGGGCACGGGGGGCTGTCATGGAAACAACGGAGGTGACCTTCTTGGATGCCACCAATTCAGTGCATGAAGAAAGTCGTCTTAAACCAGTCCCAAACCTCCCCCAGTTTAACAGGACTCCGTTTCGGCAGTGGGAAGGGCGTCACCAGGAGTGACGACCCCCAGGAGTGGTCCTTGTCCTCCCCACAGGAGATGTGGGGAATTACTTGGTGTAACTTCCCCCGGCATCCTCGGGTGATGCCGAGCAGGTCCCTCCTTCACCCCTTCTCCCCACGGCATCGGGGGGGACCAGGCAGCCGGGGGGGGGAGGGGAGAATCCATCCCCTTTTAGCGGCGCCGGTGACCAGGAGGCCACCTCTGCTCAGTCTCATGGGATTTTAAAAAATAGCACCTCCTAAATATACTCAGGTGAGGAACAACCCTTGAACGTGCAACGTACAGAGGGGATGTTGCCCCAAAAAAATCCCCATTAGCCCTAAATTGGAACCCCCTCTTAGCTGTGGTAACCCAGGGGCCTCCCGAGCCCCATGACGGAGGGGTAAGGGGAGCTGGAACCTCCACCGCCAGCTCCCTGGGGCAACTGGGGTGTCCCCAGCCCCATGTTCTCCCCCCCACCCCGACCCCAAGTGGGGCGGTTGGTAGCCGAGAGGTTGGTAGCCAAGAGGTCTGTGGTTGGCCCTGGCCTAGGAATGGGGGCTACCACCGCGGTGCAGCCGTTGGGCCATGCTGATGAGGGAACGGAGCTGCACCAGCTTCAGTGGCCCCACTTGCCGGGGGTCCTGACCCTCCAGCCAACGCAACGCTGTCTCCAGACCTTTGATGGCTTCCCGAGCCGTGGGCAACAAGCCATCCCCTCCTTCCCCAACCCTCCTGCCATCCCCATCTCCACCACCTGCCACCTCCTCCTCCTCCTCTTCTGCCCCACAGCCCCCCGGGCCTTCCTCCTCAGCATCTTCTTCCCCATCATCCTCCTCCGTCCCCGGGGCTGCGTCATCCAAGTGCAACCAGTCGGCCACCTCTTCAGGAGCCAAGCGTTTGTAGGCCAAGGCGGCCAGGTGGGTCAGGTCGCTGAAGACTTTGCTGTCCCCACCACCGCCACCTTCCTCCCCGTGTGGAGGTTCTCCATGCTCTTCCTCCCCAGGCTGGGGCTCAAAGGCGGCGCGCAAGCCCAGCAGCCAACATTTCTCGATGGAGCCGGGCGGGATGAGGTCCCAGGAGAGACCAGCCAGGTACAACATGTCCTTGAGGAGGAAGGACCGCACAAAGTCCATGGGGCCACCGGAGCCACCGGCCACGCAGGAGACGGCCAGGCGGAGCAACTCCCGCTTGTAGAGCTGCTTGAAGGCGGACACCACCCCCTGCTCCAACGGGGCCGGGATTCGGCCTCCTCCTCCGGTCGAGCCGTTCCCGATGTGGCTCTTGGAGAGGAAGAGGGCACGGATGGAGCCATCGGGTGTCTGCAGCGGTGGGGACTCCTCGGGACCCGTCCCGGAGTGGGACGATGGGGAGCTGAGGAGCAACACGGCCTTCTGCTGCAGGCAGCTCCGGCGCAGGTAGCGTTTGACACCCGGCACGAAGTCCTCAAAGAACCAAGCCCGGAGAAGCGCCGGCCCCAACCTGGCCTCGGGGCTGTAGCGGTAACAAGCGGGGAATTTGTCCTGGTTGTGATGGCGGAGGCTGGGGGGATCGCGAAGGCCCCCCACCACCAACGGCTTGAGCTTGTGGGAGCCGGTCAAGTTGGCGGCCAACAGCACGGTGACCCGTTGGCGGGGAGCCGGTCGCCGCTGCGCCGCCGTCGTCACCTCGCCGGTCTGCCCCGGTAGCAGCTTCCAGTAGAGCCCTGTGACGTTGGCGTTGTAGATCTGCTCGTCGCCGTAGCCTCCGGCGTCGGTGGCCGGCATGGGCAAGGCGTCGGGGCAGGGGGCAGGAGCCCGCTCGGGCTCGGCGGGGAGGCCACCCTCGCCGTAGATGCGTTGGCTGGAGATGCCGTGGCGCTTCTGCCAGCGCCAGAACCAGCCGTGACTGGCTTTGAAGGTACATTCGGGGCCGTAGATCTGCCGGGCGAAGGCCTCGGCCTGGGCTTGGATGAGGGGTCCGGAGAGGGGGACGCCGTGTTGTCGGAGGGCGAGGAACCAGGCGTAGACGGCGCGGTCGATCTCTTCCTCGTTGGCCAAGCGCATCTTCTTGCGTTGGGTGCCCACCTCACCCCCAAGCTGCTCCAGGAACCACCGCAGCTTGGCTTCGTCCTTCAGCCAACCCCTCAGCGTCCCCCCCGGCACCCCGAAAGCCCGGCACACCGAAGCCTGCCGCTCGCCTTTCTTCACCCTCTCGATGGCCTGCAGCTTGTCCTTGATGGAGTAGGCCCGACGCAGCGCCATCTTCACCGACATCCCTCCGCCCCCTTTA